CTTACCCAGGGTCACACAGACTGTAAGTGGTGGAGACAGGATCTGAACCCAGGTTCATAACCACTACACAACGTGCCTCTCAAGAGACTAGAACTCAGGGGTCCTTCCTGGATGCCATGTCCCCTCTGCTGCTCTGAGTGGCCTCTCCATAGCTCAGGCTCAGAATAGGTCCTCAGCTTTGGTTTTTGGGGGGGTGAGCTGTGGAGAGAAGGCCCATGGCTCTAGGTCTTATCTGAGTGTGTCTTCGGCAGGCCTTTCTCCCCCTGAAAGCCATGGCTGGAAACTCCGTGCTGCTCCTGGGCCACATCTTGATCCTGCTTGGGGGGATCTACCTCCTTGTGGGCCAGGTGAGGGCTTCTCCCCACTACGTGACTCTCAGTCGACCAAGAAGCAAACCCAGAATTCTGCTACGGGGGTCTTAGAGTGAGCTAGCCACAAACCCTTCATTGACAGGGAAACTGACTCCCACACCCAGTCTTACCCAGACCAACCAGTCTCACCACAGCTGGGGGCCATAGGTCTGGTTTTGCCTTCTGAGGCCTTGGGACCCTCCCTGCTGTGCTTTCTAGAGTACCTGTGGGGTGGCAGATGGCTTATCTGATTGCCTCGCAGTGTGGGCTCTGCTCCCCCAGGAATCGAGCTGAAGCCCCTGCCCCGGGACCTTCAACTGGGCATTCCTCACTTGGGGAGCACAGAAGGCTGGGGCAGGCAGGGCTCAGCCCAACTCCCGCAGCANCCTGCTGGACCATACCTGCCTGTTCTTGTGCCAGTGAGGGTGTGGCTGTAGGGTCCAGCAGGCACGACTTGGACCCAGCTGCCAAGCACATGCTCACTGAACATTCCAGTCTCACCCAACCCAGGGATCACACCAGGGTCTCTTGTGACCAGCACCTCCACCATCCGGGGCCAGGGTGGAGGCCGGGGGGGCATCTTTCGGGGCTCCTGGGGTGTGGGAGCCTGCTCCCTGTCCCCTCCCTACACTTCCATCAGCCCTCACATCAAGCCTGATGTGAGGTTGCCCCCTGTCTACACTTGCTGAATGTACCCATGGCTCCGCCCTTCCTACCCCAGCACCGACACAGAATGGTGGTCTTGGAGCCACTGAACAAACTCCTGCAGGCAAAATGGGATCTGCTCATTCCCAGATTCTTCTTCAACTTCCTGTGTTATCTGACCTACGTGTTCGTCTTCACCACTGTGGCCTACCACCAGCCTGCCCTGGAGAAGGCAAGGGCAGGGAGGGCACGCCCTGGGGGAGGCCTGCTTGAAACAGCCCTGGAGGAGGATGGGGCAGGGATTTCCATCCCTGTCCTGCAAGGGACAACACTGAGGCTTAGGGGGCTTGAGTGCTGTGCCCAAACTCTCATGGCAGCCAGCACCCCAGCACTAACAACTACGGTGAACTATTACTGAGTGTCACCACATGCGAGCAAGTGCTGAGTGACTGACATGCTAACTACGGCTCACACACCCCCGAGGTGATAAACTGTTGTCATTCCCAATTTGCAGTTGGGGGAAGGGAGGCTCAGAAAGGTTAGTAACTTACCCAGGGTCACACAGACTGTAAGTGGTGGAGACAGGATCTGAACCCAGGTTCATAAC